ATTGCACTTGTTTCCTCTGAGCCCCAGTTTCTCCGCATGTAAAGTGGGAACACATGTGCTTGTTTTCCTTCATGGGATGTCCATACTGCCAAAGAGTGGAAGCTATACTTATTTGGGTTCTCTTCTGTGCCTTAGACAGAGCACCAACGCCTTCAGAAGTATCTTGTTAGTGATATAGTTTGTTGAAGTCTTTCTGGCTTCCTTACAGCCCATCCACACGTGGCACACCCATCTTCTAATGTAAAGCTCTGGAAATCAGGAAGGAATAAACTCAGAAAATTTACTGAACAGGCTCAGAGATTCCAGTCAGGGGCACAACTCCCACTGACCAGGACAAAGGAGGGCTGAAGGTATTATGGATCCTCCGCTAGCACGTGTGGTCTGCTCTTCTCCAGTCCTCAGCATTGCACTTTGCACCATGTGATCCTACAAACCTTAAAGCAGTTCCTGCATTTAGGTCCCAGAGCAAGAACTTCTGTGGGTTGTCTCAGTGGAAATGCGTTCAAAGAGACCCTAAAATGAAGCGTATGGCTCTTTGCAAGAACTTTGCAAGAACTTTGCAAGCTCCTGTCTGCCTGAGAAACTGCCAATTGTGCGGCATTAGATGTTAAAAAGGACTTGAGCAACTCAGCTCACACATCCTTTCCTGTCCTGCATGCACAAGCTGTGGATGAGTCAATGTGGCTGAGTGGGAGAACCAGACAGGTCTGAATCACCACTTCTTCCTCATCTCCGAAGCACTATTATTTCCATGCAAATAATTTCAAGTCTCAAAGCCATAGAAGCAGCCCGGTAGTGGTGATCGCTCCAGAAGGAGCCAACTGGTTAATGAAAAATCACAGCTGCTTCATGTTTGAAGACACTGATTTATGTAAAAGGAAATTAGCTAATTAATCTTAAAATCCTGGAACTTGAGAAGTATTTGGAGAGACAATAAGCTCCGTTTCAGGATTTCACTGAAGCTATGTATTATTCAGCTCTTCCCATTGTTGTTCAGACTGATGTATGAGAGGTTTGAGAAACGCAGCTGTGGAGTCTGACAGGATAAATGTTAAAAAAGTCTGAAAAAGACCAGATTTTCCTTCAAGTACAGAGAAGTAAGAAAGAAACAGTGTGGGATCTGGGTGCTTTATCAGATGAATCTTCATCTTTCTGTTGAGTTCAGCAGGCTCTAGATAGAAACCTCTGCAATGTGTGGGAAGACACCTTCACACATTCAGAAAGTAAATTGAGGACTTTTATCTGCCAAGTGTTATCTGTATCTGGAAGACCACCAACTTTCTGCATTTTACTTGCACCAACAGATAACAAGTGTCTGCATGTCATGTGTGCTTGATTGATACTTTTATACCAGTTATATATCCTTTTATATCTAGTACTTTCAACTCACTAGCTACTTTAGTAATAATAAAACCAAATAAAAGTTAAATGAAAATAATTAAATAAAAAGTAAAAAACCCAAGGATTTCTGACTTTTACAATCTCAACATCTATTTAAGAAAAAGCCATACATATAGTTCTACAGAAAGAACTTCATAAAATATATGAAATCCAACTGAGAAGACAGTTTCAAATCTGTTTCAGAATTTGAACAACTGTTCAGAAACAACTGTTTCAGAATTCTGTAGAAGAGCCATTAAGTTAGGATTTCTCATGTAAAGCTGGTGATGTACCTCTATGTACATTGTACAGTATAATGACCCAGAGCTGCAAAACTCAACTGAAATATGTAAAAGGAACAGAATAATGACTGCAATGCTTTTATTAGTTTCCCGCTGGTTGCTTTCATTTACAGAATTTAGAAACAGAAAAAGGATGTATGAGACTTTTATGGTTTTTTTCTACGTGCAACCTCGTGCTAATAACTTCTTTCAGGCAAAGAAAAACATGAAGAATGAACAAAGATATTTTTTGTGAGAGAAATCTGTGTGTGTGTGTGTTTTTCTTGAAGGAAACTTTGGCAACCCTAAGAACAGAACGCGAGCTCTCCTGACAAGGGTGGCGGGCTTAGAAGTGGAAAGATCTAATATACAGAGCACCGGAGGCTTCGTAGTTCAATACACACAGCCCAGGGTACCTTGGTCCTGGTTAGACACATCTTCAAAGCAAAGCACTTTGCTGCTGTCTTAACCTTTTTTTTGCTTTGCACAAAAAATTTTGCCCAGATTTGATAGTACTGGATTTGAGCACAGATTCTTTTTTCACCTACGTTTGTAGTCACCTACATAAAGGCTGCCCCAGTCTTCCCTCAGTCCATCCAGGTGCTCACAAGGACAGGCAGGAGTAGCCTGGTGGCCCCATTTCACACAATTAGTTGAGAAAGAATCGCACCCTGCTGCGGTACAAATGGTTATGGGGTATGTCCCCAAAAGTCGCTGCAATGAATGAGGGGGAACGTAGTGCCTCTGCAGATGTGGCGATTCAGATTTGGTGCTGTAATGAGTTCCGGCAGAGGTTGACTTGACTGAGAGGTGGGGGCGATCCGCTCAGATTAATTCTGCAAAGCTATGTTAACCTCACTGGAGAAAAAAAAGAAAAAAACCCACACTTTTTAAAAAGTAAAGCAAGGAAAAATTCTCTCTAGGAAAGGAATGGACTTAGCAGAGTGTAATAATTTCATTCCCTAGCCCTTAATTCCCATTTTGTATGCCTTACTGAAAATTTCTCAAAACGATGACCTTATATAAAGGGGCTTCTGCCTACTAAAACCGTAAAAGCTATATGATGACTGAAGGCATATAGCATCTATTTCTCTTTGACCTTCACGTATTTACTCTGTTCCTGCAACCTGGCTACTTTCTTGGAGTTTATTATTATTATTGTTATGCGCAGACAAGCAAATAAGACAAGAAAGCTGTTCCAAATTGGCCGTCCTGGGAACATCACCCATAAACAGGATTGAAGGGCTGATGGAGAGCCCCAGCTCAATCTTTGTATTTTCAAGAAAGGTAACACCTCTGCGGTTATTTGACAAATGGATCTGGATCGTGTGTCAATTGTCAGAAGGCAAAGAGTATCCTTCTCCTTCACTTCAGCCCTAATAGTGCATGGAAAGCAAAACACGCTTAACTGGCAGCAATCCTTACGGCGTCTGTGCTTTCTGTAATAGAGAAGTGTTTGCTGGGAGATGGTGGGGGGAAATAAACACCCCACCTCTTCACAGAGTACGGGAAAGGAGTGCTGGCTTCCAAGGCTGGTTTTTCTAAGGCCGGTGGATTATCATTGCAATACTGTCCCTGGCACATTTCCAGGAGTCAAATATAAGGAAAGTTTTTTAATTTCTTTGCCTTTTCTTTCCCTTTCCTTTTCCCTTTCCTCTCTTCTCCTTCCTTCCTTCCTTCCTTCCTTCCTTCCTTCCTTCCTTCCTTCCTTCCTTCCTTCCTCCCTCCCTCCCCTCCTTTCCCTCCCTCCCTTCCCTCCCTCCCCTCCTTTCCCTCCTTTCCCTCCTTTCCCTCCTTTCCCTTCTCTTCTTTTCTCCTAGGAACTTGTAAAAAAGACAATATACGGAAAAAATCATCATCTTTATTCTTATTTGTAAATTGGAATCAGGATGTTACCTAATATTTTTTTTTTAAGAGCACGATAGACAGCAGTGCAACTGTGTGGCCCTCAGTAGAGCCACCCTGCTCTCAGCCCAGCTGATCTGTGCAGACCCAGGGCAGAGATTCACCTCTGTGAGAATGAGCTTCACACAAATCCCTGCAGGACCCAAGGGCGCTGTGGTCCTTGGCTGCTCCTGGGCCCACCTGGCAGCCCCTGGGTCGGTAGAAGATGCCCATCTTAATTAATTTAACCCCGGTCAGGGGCAAAGGTGTGAAGAGCAGGAGTTCTCTCTTCTGCATGCTGGATTTCAGTGAGCAGTCCTTCCAACACAAACTGATGTCCCAGTAAAGCTGTAGAGACATGGTCACACAATCATGGTATCGTAGAATGGTTTGGGTTGGAAGGGACCTTAGAGATCTTCTAGTTCCAACCCCCTGCCCCGGGCAGGGATAATTCCCACTAGAGCGAGTTGCTCAAAGTTTTTTAGAGATCTTCTAGTTCCAACCCCCTGCCCCAGGCAGGGATAATTCCCACCAGACCAGGTTGCTCAAAGTTTTTTCATCCAGCCTGGCCTTGAACACTTCCAGGGATGGGGCATCCTCAGCTTCCCTGGGCAACATGTTCCAGTGTCTCACCACCCTCAGAATAAAGAATTTCTTCCCAATATCTAATGTGAATCTACCCTCTTCCCGTGTGAAGCCGTTACCCCCCATCCTACCACTACATGCCCTTGTAAAATGCCCCTCTTCGGTGTTCTTGCAGCCCCCCTGTGGGTACTGGAAGGCTGATGCTTATGAAGGGAGCAAAGGAGCGACAGCCTGCTATGGGATGGTGGTGGGGACCTTGGCCAGGGGAGCCGCCCGGGGGGCCACCAGCCGTGCCCGGTGGGTGCCGGGGCTCAGGGCAGCTCCCCCCGTATTTTGGGACACGGCGTTTCTGGAGAACCGTCCCGGCAGCAGCCGGGCTGAAGGCCAACGGGCACGACCACCTCGCTCCGCTTTGCCGCCGTGGCTCCCCCGCCTCTCCTTGTGCCTTTACCGGGCGTGACCCCCCCCACTACGGCCGCTCCCGCGGGGGAAGAGGCGGCTGCTCCCCCGTGCCCGCCGGCGCCGGGGGGGGAGGCACCCCGAAGCCCAGCCGCCAGGAGGACGGGAAACCCCCTGGACGGCACCAGCGGGGCTTCACCCCTCCCCAGACCCGGGGCTCGCCGGGCGGGGCGAGGCGGC